ACAGACAGACAGACAGACAGGCAGGGGGGGGGGGAAAAAAAGACCTAAAATTTGCAGTAAATAAAAAAATTGAGGGGCAGAGGAGTATCGAAGTATGTGGGAGTTGTTTTTGGCAAACCGCTGCTAGCATTTCCCCTTTGGGTGGTTGTGCTCTGTGTGTTTCCCCTTTTCCCCGCTCGCCGCCCCTGCACACCCTCCCCCCCCCTTACTTTCGCATTTCGAAGGGAACTCTGGGGTGCGGTCGTGCGTTGCGCCCCGGCCGAGCCCCTTGCGGCCTGAAATGCGCTGGCGGGAAGTGGGGGAGGGGGTGACGGGGAACGCACAGCGCACGACCAAGAGACGCCACATCCGGGAAAGCGCGTGGAGGCTTTGGGCTTCAGGGTTCCTCACGAGAGCCTACCCTGCCTGGCATCGCTCCACAGGTTGGTGGGCCGAAACAGCCAGCCATCCCACCTCGGAGGAAAGCGCTCTGTGCTTTCAAAGTAGCGTTCGTTGCGGCTGAAGATTCAGCTCAGTTCCTGCCTGGCCCATCCGTTACAGGCCTGCCGCAAACCAAAGCACGGGAAGTTCAATCGGTGCTGGGACGTGCTGGGACCCGCACACCAGCGCCACACCGCCCTGTCCGTTCGGGCTACCCATGGCCCAGTCCGCCATGTCAGAGGCCTCCAAAAATCTCCAAAGCAGCCCTTTCTAAGCGGAAAAAGCGTGCGGCCAGAGCATGGCCTTCGCCAACCGACCGTCACTCAGCTAAACAGCCAGCAGCATTCGCACAACCCGGTCGCCTGAACCATGCTTGCGTCCACGCAAGAGAACCCATCTTTCGGCGAAGCTACTGTAAAAAACGCACAACCCTTTGACGGCACCGCAGGCAAGCCTCACGAAAATGTTGATTGGATGAGATGCTGTACATTTGAGCGGAAGAAGTCGCACTGACTCAGTGCTGGAGACTCGGGTCTCACTCCTCCATGTGCAGAGCGATTCCGGAAAGCTGCAGGTTTACATGTAAGTGTAACTCACAATGCAAAAAACTCATCGATCTGTACCTGTACAATGCATGCCTCAGTGCCGAGACAGCCGCTCATTTTTCGTGGTGAGCAGCAACTTCACGGACACGTGCACGGCACCTGGGAGCTGACAAGAGCTGACAAATATGGGATCCCGCAGCATCGACGATGCAACGACGATACAGTATGCAACGGCAAGCCATCAGATACAATAACCGACCGTGAAGGCTTCAATGCTTGTTGCAGCCGGATTTCCGGGTGCACCAAGCACATGTGCCAGTTGGGGCAAAACCTCCCGCAGTTCATCCTGCTATTCGAGGTGCATCACCACGCAATGCATATAGACCCATTCGCACACTGGAAGAACCGATTCGCGCACTTAGCAGCGGATTCGCGCACGGGATGATTCGCGAGCTGACCCCCCCTCGTGCACCGGGAGCACAGAAGCGGAGACATTCGCTCACTCGCGATACGCGCATTTTCATGCCGGATTCGCGCGCGGGAAACTTGTTGCAACTTCGTGCAATACCATGAACCCCAAGAATCCTGCACCCAGAACTCGAAGTTTAGAATCCCAATACTGAACAGGAATCCTCAAAGCCCTAAATCACCCTGAACCGCAAAAGTCTAAACGCTTGAACCCGCCTCCACCCTATTGGAAAGCCCCTATAGACTCAAGAATAATTCGCGTCAAACCGCAGAATCCCAAGAACTCGAATCGGGCATGCTTGACGCTTGCTTGAATCAGTGCTTGGGTCAGTTTTGCACTTGAATCGCAGTGCTTGAGTCGATGAATCGCAGTGATAGGGAATCTGAAGTTGCACTCACGAAGGAAAGGCGCGAGTGTGGCTTGTTGAACAGTGATTGCTACATTCTGTGGCACTTCTTCTCACACATGTGCATCTCAAGTACCCTCGGTCAATTCTGGCAAGTGCAGTTGGCTTGTGGGTCCCCTTGTCTTCCGTTGCTGCATGGCGTGCTGCAACTAGATGCTTCATCTAATGCTTCCTCGTGGGAGCAGCGTCCTGGAGGTCGGCGGGCGGCCGGAGAACCAGAAGCCCGGAACCAAGTAGCTGTCGTGAGCGTCTGCTCAAAGTCATCATGGCCACAAGTACCTGCAGGGTTCGAGTGCTCTTTTTGTATCTTTGTGTTCTTCCCTTCTTCCCGAACAAGAAGCGTGGAATTTTTTGTCACAGCGACCTGGCCGAGGTCCAGCTGCTGCACGCGATGCAGCAGAATTTCTGTCTGCTCGTCGCTGTAGTGTGGAAACCAAAGCGCCAGGGTCGCCTTCGGCCGATCGTTGTACAAACGCCACAAGATGTAAATGTTCCACGTGAAATAAGTCCTCGCAGAGTCGTACGGTGGATCCAAGAGAATAAGTTGTCGCTGATGGCACACAGGTGGATTTCTCACAAGCTCTTCGTAGGAATTTGCTTGGAAAAGCTTGATGTCTGCTTCAGATGTGGTCAGGATGGAAAGGCTGCGCCGCAAGTCTGCAGTAGCTCCTGCCGACAGCTCGAACAGCAGAGCCTGCCAGTGCTGGTTTGCGGGAGAACTGTTTTGTTTTGCTGTCGAAAGTCCGCTGACCCCTGGGGCGGCGGACGTGAAGTTGTGTTCCACTGGCCCGGCTTTCAATTCCCAATCCCGACCCTGCGACCCTTCCGTGCGCGCCCAACCACCCCCCTACAATGCCCAGGCCTGCGTGATCACCCTTCGTCTTCCAGCGTACCAGCTTTTCCTACCTTGCACGCCGTGCGTGCCCAACCACCTTTCCCAGTTTTCCCGCATAGCGCCCAGCCCAGGCACAGCCCTGCGACTCTTGCAGCCTCGGCGCGGTTGCAATTTCCAATCGCTTCCCGCAGAGTGTCCGCCCACCCGACACGCCCCGCACGCCCCTCCGCCGCTCACGGCCTAGTGCCATTGCCCCGCACGTCTTACTAGCGCACCGCCCCCAGGCCCCACGCTCCACACGCCCCGCAGCGCCCACCGGCCGCCCACAGTGTAGTTTAGCGCTCTCGCTTCCTATTTTTTATTCTTCCAGTTTAATTCGACCCCTAGGCATCCCCAACCCCACCGTGCCCACCGGGGCACGCCCACCGATTCGACCCCACAGTGCTCAACTACTCCTCCTTCCGGCTTCCCGCGTCCCACGGCTGCCCTGTTGCCGCCGCCCACCGCGGCATTCGGCTTTCAGTGCCCAACCACTTCTCCCCCCAGCGTGCCACGGCGGTCGCTCCTGCCAGCTTCCTATGTTTCTAGTTTAATATTATTTTCCAGCTTAGTACCCCGACCCTGCTGTTTACCTAATTTTACGTGGCAAGCAAATTACGTAAAAACTCCTGGACTAGGTAAAACAACCCATTTTTTACATTACAGCCTAAACATTAGGTTGTAAAGTATTTTTTAGGCTGCAAAGTAAGAAAATGTTGGGTTGCAAATTCCCTTAGTCGAGGAAGGGAACTGAACGATAATGTTTGGTGGTTTGCATCGGATCTTCATGCGACTGTAGTGCGGCATGGTCATTTGTGCCGGCAAGATCTTGCGAATTGCGTTGCAACCATACTTGTGGGACCATGGTTGTCCATGCTGAAATCGCCGCTCGGTTTGATTCTATGTGCTGGGTGTGGCAAGCGGATTGCCTGCGAGGCTTTCCGTTTGCATGCCAGAAACATATACATATACATATACATATACATATACATATACATATACATATACATATACATATACATATACATATACATATACATATACACAAACATAAACATATACACATATGTATGTATGTATGTATGTATGTATGTATGTATGTATGTATATATATACACCTTCGAGAGTTTACATGTGAAAAATCATATATATATATATAACTGCGAGACTCTTGTTGGTTACATGCGAGAAATCCATCAATATGCCTGCGAACTCGAGGTTTACATGCGAAATGTCACAGAGAATCCTGGATTTCTTGGAAGCCTTAGTCTGTGAGATCCGAGAGTGACAAAAAGTTCCGGACTTTGCAACTGTGTTTTGTCCAGAAGAAAACCCAGACAAGTGTGAGGCTGGAAGTAGGCGGAGACAGATGCATTACATTTGAGAAATCATATAGTTACACGGGGTAGTCTAAGCGAGATGATTTTGTAATGTATTGGCGTAGATATGTATGTGTATGTACACATGTCCGAGGTCCTGTTAAAAAAGATATTCATCCACATTTTGCCAACATGGCGTCTTTGGCGGCCGCAGCTTCCATGAAGATGCAGGAGTGCTCCTGGCCGGATCCCGGAAAAAATCGGCAAGAACCGGGTCGTGGCGGACCCTCTGGTGACGGCGACCGAGCTTGCAAGTGCCATCCATGCATTCCTTGAATATCTTGAAACCAACGAGTTATGGGCGGTCCTGGCCCTCCTCGCCAAGGGGGTTAACGTACAGCTGGCACACTTCGCCCCATGGTTCATGGTCCGTGACTGTCAAACTGCCGGTCTGCGTTCTGAACTGGTGCGGCTGCGTGAGAGGAGGGATCTTCTGCTCGAGGGTAAGGCACAGCACAAGGCAGGGGACTTTGTTGACCAGATGGACCATTCGTCTTCTTCTTAGCCATCTTGGTATGTTGAAGGAGAAGGACAGGCTCAAGCAGAAAGTGCACAGGTCCATTTCGCAAAAGGACCAAGTGTGCTGTGACTGCAGATATGTGTTTCGTGTTTGGTTTCTTCGTGGGTTGTTTGTATAATTCGTCACAGAACAAGTGTTGCAGACACCTTTACCTGATACCTTATATAGTCTGTCAAGCTGACAAGAAGCTTGACAGTTGCCTGGAGAGAGTGCAGTTGCAGCAGGGGCAGTTTCGCACTGACGAGGGCGATGTTTCGCGCACGGTGCTTGTTCCCTTCAAGGATGAGAAGCCTGCTCCCTTGAAGGACGTCATTGACCAGGAGCCTGCTCCTGGGAAAGATGTGGTTGACCAGAACTCGGTTTTGCCAGGCTTGCCGGAGACATCTTCGAAAGATGAGTGTGAGTGGTAGCCACGAGCCAGCACAGACGACGAAAGAAGGGCAAGAAAAAGGCAACACCTGCCAAACAAAAAGAAAGCCGGTGCGGCTAAGGATCCTTGCAGCAGCCATGACCTTTCTTCTTGACATCGTGCGAGAGTCCTACGGTTCTATGAACTCGCTTTGCAGCTGAATCCTGGACTGTGGCTTTACTCGACATCGGTCCCACATATTCTTAGGATTTAAGTAGATAGCAGAAACATTCATGGTCTCATGGATTACGAGGAGTTTATCATCGAATTGAAAGATCATGATAACGGCGGTTTAGAATAGAAAGAGTTTTAATAGCAAGTTCATAGACCCTTGGGACCAGCAAAGCACAAGACCTTCATAAACACCGCAGGATTCAAGCTAAACCACCTGATGCAACACAATGCCAAGCCAAATGGTTACAAAATCCATAGCATGCTCGAGTTTCCGAGGAACGCCACTACTCAACAGTCTTCGTCACACAAATGCAGAATTTTTCGTGTTGGCCACACCTGATCCTGGCAGCGTAACCATTGCAAAGCCCAAGCAGTAGAACCAAGGTAGTGCTGGAAGCCATGGCTCCCAAGTGCTATGTTCAATCTCGCCATGGCAGCATACATCAATCGATATACTG